TAGAGACTGAAAAATATATTAATATATGCTTAATCTCACTAGTAGTCAGGAAAGTGAAAGCTAAATCAATGAGATACCATTTTTTTTCACCCATCAGATTGGCAAAAGTAAAGACCAAAGATAATGCTGATGACTGTATGGAAACAGTAACCCACAAACACTGCTGATAAGAGGATGAGTTGATACATTTAGAGGAAGTAATCTTTGTAAAATTATCTAGTAAGATCAATTAAAATAAAAAACACCATAGTTAACACAGATATCCCATTTTGGAATTTCATTATGTTTCCAACTGAATCATTATCATGAGCTATTTTTCATATAATACATGAAAATCTATTGCCTGTTCAGATAATTTTCAGTGGCATTTATAATTTTTATAAAAGCATTAGTTGATAAATTCTAAGTAAAAAATGAGTGCTATAAGCCTGAATAACAGTGATCCAGTCCAGAGTGGGAGAGGTTGTTGGGGGGTTGGTGGTGGGGAAGAGAATAAGTGGGGCACAATGACTACATACTAAGTATTTTTCTGAAGTCAAGATAGATTGGGTTAACAGCACCCCTACTTCAAAGGCAATCATCAGTGACTGTTTTGAAAGCTGAATAATGGTTATTCAATCAAATCATTTATATTGGATTCCTAAAAGCAGTGTTTTGTGGAAACCTATGGAGAATATTAAAACACTATCTTGCCTTAGAGAGAAAAAGAGAGGGGAATCCATCATACCAGCTCTGTCCTGTCAAAACAGATACCAGCTAGAATAAAGGCAATCCTAGGCCTCAGAGGCAGTGCTAGTGAGATCCCTGAATCAAACTGCTAAGATAATGCATTTTTGTAACTGGGATGACACAGTTTTACAAGGTTTATTCTTACAAAACTGTGCTTTGGGGCACTTTATCCAATCCCTGAGGTTTCAGACTGATAAGCTGGCAAGAATCCAATTTTTAACAGTCACATACAATTATGATTATATGATGGAAAAACATTGAGTTTCTGGGTGACTTATGAAGATATTAATTATTTCATATGTGTGCATATTTGGCTAAGCGAATTTAGCTAAGAGCAAAATATCAAATTAAGTAAATGGTGAGTGACCTAACTGAGCCATGACCCCAACAGAGTAGAGCTTTAAGAAAATGATTGTTATTCAGTTTTGTAGCACTGGTGAAACCCATATAACCTATAGATAAAAGACAGGAAAGAGTTAAACGCCATGAGACCCTCCCTAACCCCTACTCCTCTCACACCAATGACTGTTTATAATGAGACCTGAATTTTTGGCTACAGCCTCAACACCAGAGCATTATTTGATGAGGAGACATAGTAAACTGCTATAAAGTTAAAGGACTCTTGAGGAAGGAAAGTTTTCTGAGCATAGCCTTGAAGTTATCCTTCCCATCTAAAACCAAGGCATCCATGAACCTCCTTCCTCTGAATAAGGGAGGAGACTCACAAATGCAACCAAACAGATTTTGAAAATACTTGTGAATCCCTTTGCAAAGGCATTAGCAGAAAGCCCACATCAGAGGGGGACATCTCTACAGCATTTCCTGCTATTGTATATGTTGTATAACAGGAATTTATAAAGTCTGTGAGGAAACCCTTGAAGTTCATAAATTCTGAGCAATTCTGAGTAGAAAGCAAGAATGCTCTTTAATGAAAATATCAGTTCTGATAAGAACAGCAATTTCAGGTGAGACCATGTGTGTGTGCCAGAGGGATCACCAGCTCCTTCTTTTCAGATCGTTCATTAGTTCTTGCTTATCAGGCTCCAAACCAGGATGACATTTCCATTCACTAACCCAAGGCTGAGTGAGAGACTAGTCCTTCATCTAAGATCAAGCAAGCCCTTACAGAGGGCAGTTTCAAGGCTTCAACCAGGATTTGTATTACTAAGGCAGCAGCCAGTAAGAGAGGTATGACCAGGCAATGGCTCAGTTCTGGCTCTTTGCAGGTCTAAGCAGGTGTCATTTAAAATGGTTAAGGGTGGTCCATGGACAAAAGAGAAGGGCTTTCAGTGTGGACACATGCTGTCCACTGCATAACCCTAGGGGGCGCCATTTACCTACACCACCTTATGACTGGTGTGTGGCATATTGAGCAATGTCAGATTTCCAAACTATGGAGGGAAGATAGCAAAATGTTTCTCTTCCACATAGGTTTAATTCAAAAGAATTAATGCTAAGCTGGGCATGGATGTCTCGTGCCTATAATCTTAGCACTTTGGGAGGCTGAGTCAAGAGAATCAATTGAGCCCAGGAGTTCAGTTAGAGACCAGCCTGGGCAACATACAGAGACCCCATCTCTACCCAAAATAAGAAAAAATAGCCTGACATGGTGGCTCATGCCTACAGTCCCAGCACTTTGTAGGTCTGACACAGGAGGATCACTTGAGCCCAGGAGTTTGAGGTTGCAGTGAGCTGTGATGATGCCACTGCACTCTAGCCTGGGCAAAAGAGCAAGACCTTGTCTCAAAAAACAAACAAAAAAATTAATTAACTTGAGGATGTAACACTATAATCCCCATTTTACAGGTGAGGAAACAGAAGCACTGAAAGGTATCAAGAAAAACTAGTCTCTGAAAGTTTATCTCCCTTTACCTATCTACCCCCAAGTAATCCCTTTTATTCGTGCCCAAGATAACTGTCCCTTCTCTGTCTCCGGGGAAACACTCAACCTACACCACCATCCAGGCCCTTGAAGCAATATCTCTTATTTTGTATTTCATCCTTCTTTCCAAATTTCTCCTGCCCTTCATTCCAATCCTGGTCTCCAGCTGCTTTCCAAGACTAATAGCTAATTATCTAATTCAAAAAAATTCTCCACATAAGTATAAGTGAGTGATAATTAGGCTTTAAAAAATGTCCTGTCCTTTTCTACTTTGTCCTTTTCTTCAAATTTTTCTTTTTCTGTAAATTAATCAATAAACTCAATCAATAACCAGATAAATGGATGGATATATCGATTCTGTTATGAAGTAAATTGTGTCCCTTCAAAATCCACACGTTAAGCCCTAACCCCCAATGCGACTGTGTGCGGAGATAGGGCCTTTAGAGAGGTAAAGTTAAGTAATGTTGTAAGGAAGGGTCCTAATCTTATGGGACTGGTGTCCTTACAAGACGAGGAAGAGAAACCAAAGTGTACTTACGTGCTCTCTCTCTTTTAATCCTTCTCTTTCTCTTTCCCTGTGTGCACAGAAAAGAGACTGGGAAGAAAAGCCTCACCAGAAACCAACCCTGATAGCCGATTTATCTTCGACTTCCAGCCTCCCTACCTGTGAGAAAGTAAATTTCTGTTGTGTAAGCCGGCGATCCCTGACCTTTTTAGCACCAGGGACCAGTTTTGTGAAAGACAGTTTTTTCTCAGCGGGGGTGGGGTGGGGAGGTGTTGGCAGAGCTCTGTGGCCCCCTCCCTAACAGGCCACAGACCAGTATCAGTCTACAGCCTGGGCGTTGGGGACCACAGGTTTAAGCCACATAGTCTATGATGTTTTGTTAAGGCCATTGGAGCAGATGAACACAGATACTTTATTGAACATACCACTGTTCTAGACATTGTGAGTAGAATGTACTGAGTGAATCTTATATTGCTGAGAATGCTGTAGTCAAAAGAGTACTAGACAGTTGTCAAAAACTCAGGTGCAATCAAGTTCCAGCTCTGCCTCTTCCTGTATGTGTAAACCCAACAGTTACTTCACACCATGAATCTTAGCTCCCTCATCTGTAAAAGACTAGATTCTTTCTCAAGGCCCTCACAGCTTTATAATTCTGATTATAAATATCCAGGTAATGTCACTGGATATAAATTATTACACATCATACATTATTAGACTTTCTTAGAAAGAACTGTAGATCTAGCTGTGCATATTAAAAGAGTTGAAGCCTCAACCGATAACAAGAAAAAGCACGTAAGAGTTCCCTGATTTCTGTACTTCTGTGCTTTACACACTTGGGATACATGTCGGTGTGCCAGGGAGTATGAGAAACCACAATATAAATAGGGCCCTTTTCCAAGGAGTGTCAATTTGATAAAGATCTTGAGAAAGGAAAATGTGGACATAAAGCAAATAATGCAAAGTTTGCATAAAACTTTTAGTTAAAATATGGCACTCTGGAGAAAGTTCTAGCTTCTTGTGGGCATCTTTGCTTATCCACTCAATCTCTATTATTTACTTTTTGTCTTATCATCAGTATTTTGACAGAAAATGTTGAGAACTACTGCAACAGATAAATCTTACTAATTAGAACAAGACCTAATTTAAATAGGGCTTCAGATTTATTGGCAAGTGCATTGTATTCACAAGTGGATTGATAGAAAAAAAGTATTCTACAGCCACACCTCTAGCCCCAAACAGGCAACAATCAAAAGCATACAGTTAATCAAAAAGAAAGCAGTATGAGGATTGTGGTCAGCTCAGGGAGAACTAAATATAACTCGAAGCCCAACTCTTCAGTGATACCGTTACAGGGACAGCTGTAGTGTTGAAGGTGCCAGTTTACATTTCTCTTTCTTGTTTCCCTTTGGTCTGGGTAAGGCTGTCGAACAAGACCTGCTGTCTTGCCTTAACCCCACAGGAAACGTGTGACTTAAGCTGAGCCAATTAGCCTCTCCCTCCAAGTACACAGTCTCGAGAGGAGGGAAGCTAACACTGAAAGTAGAGCCAGGCATTTCATTCTGTGAGGAAGAGGACTGTGATGAAGCTGAGGGTTGCTCCATTATGTCCTCCTGCCTGGGGCCCTGGAGCTGTTCTGACTCCTGTTGTTTCTAGGTTCTTCATCTTTTCCTTTGACCCAGTGGGCCAGCCCAAGTCCTTCCAGTAAGTTCTTTCATGCTTATGCCAGTGAGAGTCAGTTTTTATTGTTTGTAGCACAAAGCCTGCAGTGAAGCCTATGGCACCAGTGTCACATACAAAAATCATCATTTCTTTTTTGATAAAATGAACTACAGTATTTGCACAAAGTTAGTCATATAGCAATTTTTATTTGGCATTATGATTTGCTTAGGTTTCAGTATAAAGCACAAATTACCTTTAAAAAGGAAGGAATCTTACATCTTCTTAACCATTGTTCTTTTCCGTTTTCCTCCCCTGCTTCAACTTATCTAAACCCTCATTTCATTCTTGAAACAAAAACAAAAATCACTTACAAGGAGAGTTCTGCTTATCTAAATGTATAGTATATTTCTGCTAAAGAGACTGAACATTAAAAAAGAATTCTAAACTATAAACAAAGCTCATACTTAATCTATTTCATAATCATAATCATCATCATCCATGCTGATTCTGACACTGGAGGGGTCTTCAGGTTTTGACTTCTTTTTGGTCTCTTTGCTTTTCTCAGTCAGACGTAAGTGATGCTCACATTGCCTCATGATCTTCTTGGAAGACATCCAGCTCTCCCCTTGCCGCTCGGCTGGTGCTGCACATTGTCCTCCCCTCACATCTGTGCCCTTGGCCTTCAGGACCTCCCTCGCTCTGAGGAGGCTGCAGGTGCAATTCCATGGATTTCCATCCAGGTACAGGTGCCTGAGACGAGGCAGACCCTCCAAGGCTTTGAGGTCTAAGGCAGAGATCTTGTTGTTCCTAAGGTTTAGAACCTGAAGCTGCTTGAGATCCTTAAGCTCCCTCTCTGCAATATCCCTGATGGCATTGCCTTTTAGGTCCAGCCTGGCCAAGGTCCCCGGGAGCCTGCAAAACATGGAAATAGGATATGAGTGGAGGTCATGCCCATTGGTCCACACCTGCCAGGGCAACAAAAACTGAGCAGAACTGCCTTTTCTATACAGTTTTCTCCCCCCTCAAGCTAGGAAACAAGCCTAATTTGAGAAAGTTAATTATAAGCACAAACCTCAATCTCAGTCTATAGGTCTTTAACTCTTTCTCATAGGCCTTACTTTCTAACCTTCTGATTTTTCTGGTTCCTGTTCATAAAGCTCTTTAATTTTTTTCTTGTGAAATGATATCACTCAAACAAATTGATAAGAAAAACACTGTGCTGGGTGTGGTGTCTCATGCCCATAATCCCAGCACTTTGGGAGGTCAAGGCAGAAGGATTGTTGGGGCTAGGAGTTCAAAACCAGCCTAGGCAACACAGCAAGACCCCATCTCTACAAAAAATAATAAAATATTTGCTGGGCATGGTGGAGTGCACCTGTAGCCCCAGCTACTCAAAAGGCTGAGGCAGAAGGATCACTTGAGCCCAAGAGTTCAAGGCTGCAGTGCACTGTGATGGTGCCACTGCTCTCTAGCCTGAGCAATAGAGCAAGTTCCTGTCTCTTTAATAAAAAAGTAAAGAAAGTTCCAAATATTTAAGTGGGCAAAGGTCATACATAAATCAATAATTTACAGAAGGGGAAGTAAAAACGTCAAATAAAAATATGAAAAAGTGTTGTTCTTCTGGAATCTATTAATAAAGGCAGATGAAAAATAATGTAATGTTTTAATGTATCAAATTAAAACATAGTTTGGTTTCAAATTTTAAAACTTATTGCTGTTGAGGGTAGTGTGAGTAACAACTGTTGGTGGGAGTGTATACTGGTACCATTTTGGAAAGAATTTAATAAGTTGTATAAAATTTAAATGTCATGCTTTTTGATCTAAACAATGGGAAAAGTGAATAGAGATTTATTTACAAATATGTTTGTCATGTGTTTGATCATAACAGCAAAAAATCTATAAAGACTCAATAATTTGGAAATTATGAGATAATGGACTCTTATATGATTATAAAAATCATGTTTTCAAATAACTTAAAAATACTAATTCTATAAAAAAAGCTTTTCTAACTATGACACAAAAATCTAGAAGCTATAAAATATTGATAAATCAACTACATTAAAAAGAATAAAAGAAGATATTGTGTATAGCAAAAGACATACGCAAAGTCAAAAGACAAATAATAAACTGGGGGAAATACAGTATCTGCATCTTATATCACAAAGAGCTAACCTTTCTAATATATAAAGAGCCCTTAAAAACTGAGAAGAAAAGATTTGAAAATAAAACAGAAAAATGGCCAAAAAGCATGAATGGAAGGTCATAAAGAAAAGCAAAGAGCCTTTAAGTTTTTAACCTTACTCAGAGTAGAGAAATGAAAATTAAAATTGCACAGAGATGTTATTTCCCCTCTATCAGAGTGGTAAACATCTTAAGCCTTAGCAATTCATTCTGTGGGCAAAGCTGTGAAGAAACAGATATTCTCATACATTGCTGGTGGTAGTCTAAAATGGCAGAGCCCCTAAGGTGGAGAATTTAGCAAAGCCTAACAAAATAACATGTATTTGTACCCTTTAGCCCATCAATCCCACTTATATACACTGAAGATATGACTCTACCAATATAAACAGCATATGTGGCATTTATAATGGCAAGAGCGAGACCCATCTCTATTAAAAATATAAAAATTAGCTAGGCATTGTGGCACGTGCCTGTAGTCCCAGCTACTGGGGGGCTGAGGCAAGAGGATCATGTGAGCCCAGGAGCTTGAGGTGGCTGTGAGCTAGGCTGACGCCACAGCACTCTAGCTGGGGCAACAGAGTGAGACTCTGTCTCAAAAAAAAAAGTCCCTGCTTATTAAATCTTGCATTCTAACTCGGACCATTCTATTTACCAGTATGTGACTTCAGGTAAGTTCTTTCTCCTCTTAAAGCTTCTGATTTTCTACCCTACAGTTGAAAGTGTTCAGTACACAGAAGTCACATAACAAATGTTAGACAATGCAAATGAACGAACCAGGTTTTCTTTCAAACAAATACGATTAGTCAGTTCTGGGCTGAGGACCCAACATTGTGCCTGTTCTTAGGTGTACCTTTTTCCCCCCCTTTCTTGTTTCTATGGAAGTTATAACGTAACAACATTGTAAGAGAAATCACTAATTATCCTAGTTTTGTGACCTCTTGACAGTCACTGATTGCTTGGTTATGATTCGTCTTTATATGTCTGATTTATATAAAAAGGTAGCCGTGGTTTTAAGCCAGACATGTTTCAAGAAATGCTACCATGTTCTTTGAATAATTATCACTATTTAGAGTAAAAAGGGGGATAGCCCATTTTGCCAGTGGATGGCCCTTGCATCTAAGATAAAATGCTAACTGTATTAGGTTGTAGAAAGCTGGATTTGAATTATCAAGAGTAGATAAGGAAGAGAGAATCTAACTTGCATTTGTTCACTAAGCTGCAGATTGGTGAAATGTGAAGCAGCAAAAAGTGAGGACCAGCTCTTAGGCCTACTAAGTTCTAAGTAGTATAGTATATGGTATTCGGAATAAATCTGTGTAGAATAAATCTCAAAGGCAGGATTTTGCAGTGGCTAAAATTTCCTGGCTCTGGAATTAGACTACTGTGTTTAAATCCTGACTTCACCATTTATTGATGATGTCAAGTTTCTGAATACCTCTAAGCCTTAATGTCCTAGTCTGTGAATTGACAGGTAAAACAATGTACCTACCGGTACATAGGATTGTTGTATGGAGTAATAAGGAATAGTGAATATATCTAAGTTCACTGCTAGTCTTAGTAAGCACTTAATAAATATTAGGAATTATTTTCTATGTCATTAGTCTAATGAGGCAGATGTAGTAGGTATTTGAATATATGTGTACCTAAAACCATATACTTTATTTTCTTCATAAAACATACAATGGAGGATGGTAGATAAAAGAAGGGATTTGTGGAAACACCATTTGTGATAGGAGCAGGTTGCATGTGTTTACAGTGTATTTATAGAAAACTGAACTTTACAGTGTAAATATCATGTATGAATATGAAGAATGAAAATTAAAATGGTGTACCATTTAAAGCTCATAAAGAAAAGTTTAAAAATTCAAATACAAAGAATAGATATTGTGTTTTAATTCTTTATGGGAGGAAAACCACAGAGAAACTTTTCTGGGTCATTCCCATTTTCCAATACAAAAAAAAAAGCTGAGGACTGGGGGTGGTGGTGATGGGGGCACTTAAAAATTACAAGAACTTTGCTATCAACGCTGGCTAAGTACTTTAAGGAGATAGATGTGTTGCATAATTCAAGCCTCTGAAGAAAAGGCCACTCCCACCTCAACATCACTTGCCTTGTCCTTGCCGGGTAGTTCTCCACCCTAGCTGCACATTAACTTCATCTGGGGAGTTTTTCAAAAATACTGATGCCTCGGCCTCAACCCTGGGGCATCTGATTTAGATGGTTTGAAATGAGGCCTGGGTATGGATATGCTTTATTATACTGCTGCAGATAATTCTAATGTGAAGCCAGATTTGAGAACTATGGCTAGCTAGCTCATGCTTGCAATCCCATTTACACTCCATTGGGTAAAAGCACTGTGCTCTCTGTAGTCGCTTGTTATTATAAAACACAAATACTCTGGCAGCAGTAAATAATTAATCTATTTTCACTCATGAAACTCAGCAGGATTATTTAACCAAATGTTTTTTAAAAGTCACATTAGTGGAAAAGTCAACCAAAGTCACAATTTTGTCCATGGCTGTCATAGCCTACTATAATATCCTTATATGATATAGTCACTTCCTAACTTGTTTTTATCAGTTTTTATTTTATATACTATATTTTTCTTGCAGTAAAGACATTCAGTAATAGAAAATAAGGCTTGAAACATAGTATAAAAGTTACTTAAAACTAAGATTAGAGTCTGAAACATTTAGCCATTGTTCTACCTGAGGCCTTCGTATGGGCTGTTCTTTTGTCTAGAAACCTTTCCCACAAATATCTTCATAGCTAAATCCCTCACTTCCTTCAAGTCTTTGCCCAGAGCTTACCTTTTCATGGGTACCATGTTTACCCTATTTAAAATTGCAGCTAGCCACCCCCTCTATACTCTTGAACCTGGTCATCATGCCCTTTTTTATTGTTAACCATAACACCTAACACAGTCTAAATATTATAATCTTTCTTTATTTATGTTATTGTTCAAGTCAATTCCAGTGCTAGAATTAAAGCTATATAGTACAGCAAGTTTTATCTCTTTTAGTACATTTATGTATCCTAAGCGCCTGGTAAGGTACCTGGCATAGTAAGTGTAAGTACTCAAACACATATTGCTCAAATAAATAATGCATTACAATGCTTAATGATAAAAGCAAATTTTCATTACGTTGAAGTCAACCATAATAGTATGCTTAAAAACTTTTTTGCTTGGGTAAAAAATCACTTTTGGCGATGTTTGCATTAAGCACCATACCATACCTACATAATAAAAGATACCTTTTCAACAAGAAAAAAAAATCCTATACGTATTAAAGATAATTTTTCCCTTTCTCATTGATAAAAAATTATTGTAACAAACAATGAAATTAGGTAAATAGAGTACAAATAGGATCTACAGAAGCCAAAAGTTGGATAACTTGAAATTGTAATGAAATTGTCGGAATGGCTAATCAGAGCGCAACGAAGCTATTTTTTCAATAAAGTGCTAAAAGGAAAAAGAATCAATTTATAGACACATAATAAACAATATAATATCTTTTAAAGAGAATAATAGTGTTTCATTCTTCTACTTTTTATTACTTTAAAATATAGACAAGAAATAAAATTTAAATAAATTAGATCAATTAATGCAAACAGGTACATAAGTTATAGATTATGAATAGTTAGGGGGAACAGGTACAGTGGGTTGGCATAGAGGGAGGGATATTTGGAAAGAGAAACTGTCAGAGTGTGAGGGTGTGTGTGTGTGTGTGTGAGTGTGTGTGTGTATGCGTGTGAAAGAGAGAGAGAGAACAAGAACTGAAGAGATAATCAAAAGCAGAAGGTAAGAGAAACATAGACGGACACATCCTCTCATATAGACAGACACACAGATAAATAAACAAAGCAGGTCTTAAGCCCTTTAAAACTCATAGCACTATGAAGACTATGAGGCTCCCCAATAAGTAATACAAAATAAATACAGTATTCCATCATAAAGCTTTGGTTTTTTCCCCATAACTACTACTTCAATGATTTTAAAATAGAAATATCTTACTATATTTCCCCCCTATTTTTCCTGATGCCCTTGGCTTTGCTAGTGGCTAAGCTCATGCCTAAACTGCCTATTGGGTATCTAGGCCATATACATACTTAGAAACTGAGATACACTTTTTACAATATCTTCATATTATGTTTGTTAATATAGATATCACCTGTTGGTGTCTCGTCCCACAGGCAAGATAAATTAAGTTAGTACAGGACTCTATTTGAGGGCTGGAGATTCCAAACTTCTGTTTAAAACTTTTATCCCTAAACCTTTGTATAGCCCTGATCAGAACATTTATGTTTGTTCTCACTAATTTTCTTGCTTGTGTAATTTCTGAATTGTCTCAATCTTTGGAAAATGTTTATGGTAGCTGTAATAAATGGTAACACTCACTTACCTTAGGGGTATGGACAACAGCAGGTTCTGCTCCAGGGCCAGGTTGGAGAGCTGAGAACACCTCTGAAGGGCTCCAGCTTCAAACCAGCTAACAATGTTGTTGTCCAGGAACAAATGCTTCAAGTCTCTGAGGTCCTGGAATTCTTGTGCAGTAACTCTCTGAATCAGATTATTGCTACAATCGAGTTTTTGTAACCTTGCTGGCAGTCTCAGGGGCAACGTTTGAAGCTGGTTTTGGGACAACTCAAGTGTGGTTAAATTAGCAAGGAGCTGTGCCCCATCAATGGAAGAAAGTAAATTTTCTGACAGGTAAAGATGGGAAAGATTCTCCAAGTGTTTCATATCTCGAAATCTTACCACTTTAAGCTGGTTTCTCTCCATCTTTAAAGATAGCAAGGATTTGGGTAGATTAGTAGGAATTTTAGTCAGAAAGTTACCACTGAAACTGAGAAATTGCAAAGACTGTAGAAAATTAAAGAAGCTACCTGGTATAACATGTAGTTTATTATTCTCCATGCTCATATGTTTCAGATGGGGAAGTGTCAGGGGTCCAGCTACAGACTCCATATTGTTATCATCCAACATTAAACTTTGCAAACTGACAAGGGAGGAGAGCATGCTGGGAGAGAGCGAAGAGATCCAGTTGTTTTTAAGTTCAAGGATTTTTAATTTCTTCAGTCCTTCAAAATCTGATCCATGTAGGATGTTTATTGAATTATCATTTAGATTTAACACTTCAAGACTGGCTGGGAGAGCCCTGGGGACTCGTCTTAATTTATTTTTCCAGAGTTCCAAGGTCTTCAGGGTACTCAAAGTTTTGAAGGTATCATTTTCTACCAACTCTGTTCCACTGGCCAGCAGAATAAAATCTTCTAGAGCCAACCCTTGAGTGAAATTAGGGAGCTACAAAAAAGGTTGGGGCAGGGAAGGGGAAGAATGGCAATAAATTAAATTGTTATGAAAAAAAATACCATATACATTATCATTAAAATACTAATGCTACTTCGGATTTCCCATCAGGTTCTATTTAAAATTATCTCTTGAAAAAGGATTGAAACTTAAGTCTTGACTACTTTTTATTTATAATTGATAATACCAGTGTAAGATACCAAAAATATTCTATGCACTTTCACACACTATTGATAAACATAGTTGGCCAACAAATGTTGGTCAACTTTCACTGCATATTCTCTGACCCAGAACATTCACTTCTAGGAAATTGCTTAAAAATTGCCCAATTTAAGCACTATGATGTTCTTTGTTGTATCATCTAATAATAGCCAAATATTTAAACAATCTGGAAATCTTTCAGTTTCTAACTCTAGGGAGTAAGATTACAAGGGATTTTCACTATCTAGCTACATTTTGCATTGTTTGGGTTTTTTAAGTTATGAATTACCTTTTAAAAAGATTTGTACTTTTCAAAAATCATTAAAAGTAAAAAATTTTAAATGTCCTAGAGTCTGCTATCACTAGGATGTACTTACCTGAGAAACATTTTCAACTATATTGAATTGTGGCAAATAAGCCTACCTGTTCCCTATCCCCAATTTGCACTTCACCAATAAAAAAAAAAAAAATTCATAAAGAAACAAATGTATACATGTGTCTCCCTTTTTCTCTGTAGAGCAAAGAGTTCTTTCATAAGTATATCCCAGACCTAATGCTACTCCTCTCCTAACATTTACATAATTCTAAATTCTGATGTGATATACTTTCTTCATGTTTTGTAAGTTCCCCTAACTCTCCACATGTCTGCCAACGTCCTTACTTGACACCCATCATTTTCTCAATAATGTAATCATTTGGGTGTGGTTCTAAGAATAAAGTTATGTTTAGGCAGAAAGAGAAATTGTTCTATGTTTTCTTCAGGTAGATAAAGCTTCACAAAATTTCAACCTCCTTTAGAATTCAATTAAGCTAGAATTTTCAGTGTATAATTTTATATATCTTACTACCTATAGTTTCTAAATATTTGACTTAATTATGTTATTGAGCTCTTTTATAATACCAGTGCATGATTAATACCTCAAAGTGAGTTGATTTTGCATCACATATTTGTTATAGGTACTTATATTCTGGGAGGATGTGTGATATGAATTAGGGTATATTTTAAAACATCTAACATGTTATTAGGAGAATCACAAGTTTAAATTTCCATAAATAAATGTTTTTAATCATGATAATTTTGGTAGATGCCTTGGGTTATATATTGCTCCTAACATTTGATATTTTCTTAATGATTTATCAGTTGTATTGATTAGTCCTAGTCCCAATAACAAGAGCAATTTTATTCTTGTATTTGTTGAGTATCTGCAAATGCCAAGTGCTTTTTTATATGTTATCATCAATCTCCTAAAAAGTCTGAAAATTTACTATTATCAACTGCCTTCTAGGTAGAGAAACTAGAATCTAGAAAGTGAAAGAGTTGAGAATTTCAACAATGTCTATTGAACTTCAAAGCCTTTTATTCCTCAGCTATACCATCTCCTAATACATTTTCTATTGCATTTGGCCTACAATTAATGTTTTTCAAGAAAGACTCAAGATCTGGGCACAAATCATAGAGTTTCAGAAAAGCAGATATTCTAGAGATTATATAATCCAAATATTCCATTTTAAGGATAAAGAATTTCAGGCCCAAAACAGTTAAATGACCTGCCTAAGACTCTGTTCTTTAATTTTTGCTGTACTGTAAAGTACCTTTTTTTTTTTGGTGTATAGTTCATGTAAAGTCAGAAATGACTCTAGATATAGATATTTACTTCTTGTACTGTTGAACTCCCAACAAAAAACTTGGTGTTACTAATACTTCTACTTAAATCTGAATGACCACAAACACTAAAAGATTGCTGACAATGCACTTAGTCTTAGCGATGCCATGGATCTAAATGGGCATTTTATTTGGGGGTTAGACAAAGTGTGCTGTCAAAGCTTCAGTTTGGCTTTTTGTTTGTTTGTGGAGTTTTTTGTTTGTTTTTATTTTTGTTTGGGGGACAGGGTCCCACTCTGTTGCCCAGGCTAGAGTGCAGTAAGTAGTGTCATCAGAGCTCATTGCAGCCTCCAGCTCCTGGGCTCAAGCAATCCTTCTGCCTCAGTCTCCTGAGTAGCTGGGACTATAGGCATGTACCACCATGCCTGTCTGTTTTTTCTTGTGGGTCTTGTTAAGTTGCCCAGACTGGTCTTGAACTCCTGGCCTCAAAGAGTCCTCCCACTTTGGCCTCCCAAAGTGCTAGGATTACAGGCACAAGCCACATGACTGGCCTCAATTTGTCTTGAATTCTATTTATAAAGTACACAGACTGGCCTAAATCATAAACAGACTTCATGTTCTTAACTGAATCCAGTGGATAGCTATTTTCCTTTTTTTTTTTTTTTTTTTTTTTTTTTTTGAGACAGAGTCTCACTTTGTTGCCCAGGCTAGAGTGAGTGCCGTGGCGTCAGCCTGGCACACAGCAACCTCAATCCCTAGGGCTCAGCGATCCTACTGCCTCAGCCTCCCGAGTAGCTGGGACTACAGGCATGCGCCACCATGCCCGGCTAATTTTTTGTATATATATTTTTAGCTGGTTAATTAATTTATTTCTATTTTTAGTAGAGACGGGGTCTCGCTCAGGGTGGTTTTGAACTCCTGACCTTGAGCAATCTGCCCGCCTCGGCCTCCCAAAGTGCTAGGATTACAGGCGTGAGCCACCACGCTCGGCCTAGCTATTTTCCTTTATTAAGAATTGAAAGCATTTTCCTTTTTCTTTTTGTCTGAGTCAATACAGGTTACATTTGATTATTATTAATTAAAATGGCTACCATTTTCTAAGTATTGACTACATTTAATCTTTACAAATCCCCATGCATAAGCATGATTATTACATTTTCAGAGAGGGGAAGTAAGGCTCAATAATATATCCTTCTAGCAAGTAGAAAAGCTGGGCTACCAACCCACCTTTATCTTACCCCATGCTTATAATTTTAACCTTACTGCTATCACATCCATTTAGCTGAAGAAAATAGAGTTCTGGTACCACAAACAGTGAGGAAAGACTCCTGCTGATTTTCATCTTTTTAGTTGGGTTTGTAGACCTGACAAAAGGAGAAAAAAATTCTGCCAGATTTGTTTTTCCATTTCCATGACTTAAGCAGGGCTGTGTTCAAGAGGTGTGGAAAGAGGTGCTTTGCCCTAGAGCTAACCTTGCGGCTTCTGGCAGCTTTTTCCAATGTTACTTAAAAAGTAAGGCAAGCAGAAGTGAAGTAGGGCATTGGGTAGGTGAAGCCAGGTCCTGCTGGCTTCCCCATGAAAGCCTTTGTTTCCAGTATTAATCCTGGGCAGGCCCTGCTCCAAGTAGCAGACAGCCACATACCCTCCTCATGCTCCTCACAGGCTCAATGCACAAGGAAACTGGCAAGTGTCCAATGTGACAGTTTCAGGCCTATGTGAAGCAAGCCAGCAAGGAGTCCATAAAACAATGTTGGAGTTTGAGTTGATGTTGAGGGAGTGTAGGGGAAACCTGACCAAAAAGATGTGAAAGAATAGATAGGTGACAATGAAGACTCAGATGAGGTTGGAGACCCCGAACGGGGGTTCCAAACCATGTAGTTGTGTGAGCTTCTCCAGCAGCACCCAGCTGTCCAGGTATGGGAAAAACAAAGGAAAGTTATCACCCTGATTTAACACTGAGGCATTGCTGGATAGGTGTTGAGATAGTTAATTGTGAGATGCAGAGAGGGAAAGAGTAAGGAAAGAAGGCAGGTAAGAGATAAACTGATGATCTGGGAGAACATGGGTAAATCTAGGGTTAGAAGTCTCCATGAGGCAGAAAGATAGGTACAAAGTGTGGCAGCTGAAAGGAAAGGAGATGATGACCAGTATTCAAGATTTTCTGAGTGAAGAGGTTCCAGGTGACAATGCGTATTATGATATATGATTATTATATAACCAAGAGATAAAGTCAAGATAATTGAGATAAAGTATAAATGAAGATAGTTTTTTTTTTTTTATGAGTTAAGAGAGTATGAGATGGGACTGGCCATCTACATGGACACTAAAGGCCGCAAAGAAGATACGGGACTTAGCATGGAGAGGAAGACTATAAGCCAGTAGAGAAGGGCCAGAGGCACAGTATAAGACAGATAGAAGAACAAATAAAAAGTCTTAACAGCCCACTGGCATGAACCTCAAAGAAGTAGGGATTTTTATAGATAAAGACCCTCTTTTCTTGATGGCAAGAACTGTGAATGTTTCATCTTTTATACTCAGCCTCAAACACAGTTGAATTATATGAACAAGTAATATAAACATTTTTCACTGTGATATATATTATATTCATTATATGTATTTGTATTATTATATGTCATTTTTATTACTATTAATCTGAGAATCCATTTTAAGGCATTTTTTTCTTTAAATATACATACCTGATTCTATAAGTTCAAGCCAAATAAGCAGAATATACATTGTATCACCAAATATAAGTGAAATATGGTCATTTAAAACCTAAGTGTTTTGCAAAGAAAAGTATTATTGGTCAGAACATTTTAGCTCCTCTATTCATCACCTTTCTGTTACGAACTGTCCTTCTAAGAGGCAATTAACTAGGTTAAAGTCAGGAAAGTGGTTAACTAGGTTAAAGTCAGGAAAGTGGCAATACTGCTGTTCAATGAACCTAAACCGATAACAAATTGACTCATTTAATAACTGAATTTGATAAGAGGTATAATTTCATCTTTTTGACTACAAAGTAGCAGTATAAGTTCATTACCAGGATTAGTTGACACTCCAGCCCACTAGGCATCTCAGTTCTCAGAGCAAATATTGAGGCATCTCACCCTTTAAACAGGTGTCTTGCTTGAATGCTTAGAACTAACAGGGTCAGCCTTGTTATCTGGCACTACAGGTTTAGAAGAAGAAAGTAAACAGATGGACAAGACAATTGTGCTTACTGAGCCTGGATATAAATACCATGCCACATATTTTAAACTTTGTGTTGTTTATGTGACACCTAAATGAATATTTCTTAACCAAATGAAGGGGAGGGGTGGCTCTGTCTGAGAGGGGTGCATTCACCTGCTGTCTCTCTGCACCTAGCTCACAGAGAGGCATTTCCTTATCTTAGGATTTGGATCTATAAGGGAGAAGCATTGAATATCAAAGGGAAAATCAGAAAGCCATAGAATTTTCTATCTAAAAGGGGCCTGTGATTGTCTATCCAATCCAGCTTTCTATCTCATTTCATAAAGGTAAAAAGGGAAGCCCAGAGATTTTTTAACAGCTTGCCTAACATAGTCACATCAAGTTAATGAGAAAACTAGAATGAGAACGTTAGTCTCTTGATATCTTTCAAAATACCAAAGATCAAAAATAAAAGTTCCTTCATGTTATAAAAGTCAGGCAACTCTGTAGAATTCATTTTAGTGCCCTCTGGACAGGTAAGTCTAAAAATAAAAGTCATATTTAAAAACATATAGAATGAGAACTGCAGGCAACTTGGCAAAACAAAAAACATGTATTTCCTCTGTGCAGGTTTCCACAAAGACACTGATACCTGGCTGGTATGTCAGGTTTGTATGAATTATTCTGATATGCTAGGTTCATCTTGGTAGTATATGCTCTAAGTATCATCTGCCATCTATGGCATAAATAAAACTACTTTTTACCCTGAAAGGATTTATTCTTAATCCTGGGGACAAAAAGTAGCAACATACTCTTTTTATTAAGCAAGAGGCATTGTTATTATACTTTGCAACAACATAGTTTTTAAATTTTTTTAGTAAAAATTAAAATAAAATATCATTAACTATAGATTCTGACTTCTTTTTTTTTTTTTGCTGCTTCCCTAAATAAACATCCAGAAGCTTATACCCATCTCAGTAGTATAGAGCAAGCAGGTAGTGAGTGCAACTACCCTACCTTGATAACTAGCACTTTTAAGGTATGATTATTTAAAATAAGTTTAACAACCCCACACCTGCCCCTCACCCTATCTCCCAAAATAAGATTGCAGCAACTGGAGTGTAGAATAACATAATTACCTGGAGGTGTTGAATTTTGCTGTGGCTAATGTAGAGCCTCTTGGTGGTGGAAGGAATGCCCGACGGTACCTCCATTAATCTGTAGCATTGCACCAACTGTGCAGAATCACAGCTACATCGTCCAGGACAGTTAGGACTGAAACCATCGCTAAGAGAGAGCAACACAAGGAAGGCATAAAGCAGATGCATCTTCCAAAACAGGGGTCTCACGTAGCAGGTGGGTGTTTAGGTGATGTCTCACTCTTTATACCATCAAATCTGACAACAGAATCTTATGAATGTGTACTCTGTCAATGTAAGAAGACGGGAAAGAAAAAATTCTCAATTTGTCTGGGTTAAAATGTTAGCAACCATCACAAAGAAGAAAGGGCTTAAACATTGATAAGCTGCCTTAATATTTGTAGGTGAGCAAAACCCTATGTTATTTATGACTTGGAAGGCTAATCTGCAAACACCTCTATTATCTGTAGTTTCCTTGTTTTGTTAAATGTGACACGAGGCAATTAGTGGGAAAACACAAAGAGCTGTTTTATAGCGGGCCATAAAACCTTTGAATTTTCTGTGACCCTATATTAAAACCATTTTTGTAGGACTGAAACAGGCAGGTGTTTTCTTCTCACGTTAAGTAGTAAGGGAAAATAGGCAGGTTTTCTATGTGTTATTGTTGTTTCAGTAACATTTTATTGCTAGAGGAAACAATGGGCTACAATGGAGAGATGCTTAGACCTGCAGATAACGTGTTTAGTTCATCTACCATCTGAACCAACCAAACATCATTTCTGGAAACTATCTTTGTCATTCAAAAATATTGTTGACTCAGATGAGAACAAAACATCAAAACAGGTTGATCATTTTCGTCTATTTGTAATAATGGTAGAAAGAACCTCTGGTTTCTCTAGAGGAATTTGTCAGTGGGTTTTTGTCTTGCCCTGGTCATTCCTGCTGTGGGCTTTGAAAGCATTTTAAGCATTTTTTTTTTTTTAGATATGCAAAATTTTATTTTTAAAATTCACCTTCACTACGAATTTAAGATGTCTGGGGAAGCTTTTCCATCCCTCACCCAAAGAGTTTACAAACATGTACAACAGAGCAAACTAAGAACACTGTTAAAAAGGCAAAGATAGTATCCAAAAGCATTCCGTTCAACATCTAAGACATAGTACAATCCTCAGGTGATCAGAATACCAAGATTAGCAAGGTTGCGTTAAAGCACCAGAATTCATAGCTTAATTCCTTCACTTAGACTTTGATACAAAACTGTTGTCCAAGGTTATATAGAGATCTTTCCCCACAAGTGAAAAAACTTAATTTCCTCATGCTGCTGGGCCTCAATATATTGTTCTAAAGAAATTCTTTTTAATATCGAAAAGCTTCTCTAGTCTCCTCTTCAACCTTACCTCTCTTTGCTACAATTGCCATTTGAAGCCAAAAATATCTTTGATCTCATAATCAATTCATTTGATTTCCAGAGTAAGGATTTCTGTGTGCTTTTTTTCAAATGACCTTTCTAGTCTTCCTTGTTTTCCTCTGTTTTCTTTAATTATCAGAGATAAGAGCAAGAGATCTCTGTTAATATTCTGACTTTTAAAAAAATTTGTTATTTCTTATGTCTATGAATATAATATTTTTTAATTTTTAGAATTTTCAAATATCAAAGTAATACTTAATGAAAAAAAATTTTGAACAAACAGCAAGGAGGGAAGAAAAGTCACTTTTAGTCCTATCTCCAAGTTCAACATATTTCTAGTTTCTTTTCTATGCCTAGGCTTTGAAAAGACAAAGAAAAATACTTACTGAACACTTTTTTTCCTGAATTGCTCTAAAGGTAAATTTATATTCAGTTACTTGAAAAGAAATGCCTGCAAAATCCTATTCTCTCATCTGCCATCAATAACAGCAAATTTTTCCATTATGCAGCACAGCAATGAGTTCTATTTTCTATCTTTTCCTGGTGACCACAGGATTCTCTTTTCCTTAACTGAATCTTGAAATGATACTGTATAATATTTTTTTTCTTCTTTTCCATGGTATTTCTATAGCTTTACTGCAATTCTAGCAATTTCTAATATTTTGCCCTGTGAATAGTTTCATTTTCTCAGTTTGTAGACATATTTATATAACTTTATATTCTGCTCTGTTCACTATTATAATATTTTTTCATATTATTTCATAGTCTCCATAAATATAAACCTAAATGTCTAAATAGTCCATCAAAAGTATTGTCTGTAATATAACTACTTTTTAACTATTGGACTTTTAGAGTTGTTTTCTGATTTTACCATTATAAATGTAAATAACTTTGATCACAAAAAGTATGAGAATATTTTGAAGGACAAAACATCTATCTGTTCCCAGACCACATTTATTTATTTGGGTTAAGCTCAAAAGTCAACTTTTTTTAGCTAGAAGACAAAGTCTTGTCGATGCTATAGCCTGCAGAGAAAGTACAATACAAATTTATAGGCTGGGTGCTTGAAGGACATGCATGTTTTGTTGTACCTGCTCTGGAGGTGACAGGCCCCTTTGCATATTTATTGTGCTAGGAAGCGGCCACTGGAGCTGGCACCATTGCTCAGCCTCTAGCTTACCCTCTGTTGACTTTTGGAGTTTTTTCATGTTGACAAAGGGCCATGGGTGTGAAGTTTGGGGTTTTTGCTCTTGAGCGTGTGGGTTCCTAAGGCTAAGAGTGAAATATACAATTCTTTTCTCCAAAGGATTTAATAACACTTTATCTGATCATTATTATTTGGCTCCTTTGAGTAAGGAAAAAACAAGTAAAGGAACATGGGTGCCCTTCTCAAGTATGGAAACTCAATGACACATTCAGCAAATCTGTTCCAATTACAGCCCAAGACTCTAGGTTTGGTTTTTCAACACAAGAAAGATAGCAATCTCAAGGAATAGGTTTTGTATTTGAATTTGGATTGAATTAGATTCTTTGCTCAGACTAACAAGCCAGGGTTCTCCCCAACTTGCTTTCTTTATCTTCTTTATCTTTATTCTTTCTCCCTGGAAACATTTTCAATTGTCATAATAATGTCGGGGAAGGGAGCAATATTACTGCCCTCTAGTGGGTAATGGCCAGGATGCGGCTAAAAACCACATAATGCACAAGATAGCCCCCACAACAAAGAATTTTGGAGTCCCAAATGTCAATAGTCCCGCTATTAAGTAACGCTGTAATAAACACAAATGTGCACCTATATGAAATGGACATAGAGGGCTTCCTTGATTTATTAAAAACAATGGGCAAGAAATAATTGACCTAAACTCTGAAATTACCTAATATATGTAGTATTTTGGGAGCAATTATCAAAGAAGGCATATTATAGTAGGATAAAGAAATCTACTGAAATCTCTTGAGGAATATTCCTGTTGTGCTTAAAGGAAGATTTAACTTTGCTTTTGGCATGTCAGTGATTTTTATTACTTTCATGGGATGTCAGCACTGGAAAGAACCTACGGATAATCTAATTCATACCATCTTTCCCACTGTATGTAGGAAACTGAATTCCAGAAAGGAAACTGATGACTGTAAATTCTCCCTGACCTGGGACTTTAAGGATCAGCTTACGATTCCTATTTTAAAATCGACTAGTCAAGAGCTAAACAGAAGAGTTTTAAAAATGAAAACCACTCTCTCTCAAATAAAAGAAATTTTAAAGAATAAAAACATGATGTTGGCCAGGCGCGGTGGCTCATGCCTGTAATCCTAGCACTCTGGGAGGCCAAGGCGGGCGGATTGCTCAAGGTCAGGAGTTCCAAACCAGCCTGAGCAAGAGCAAGACCCTGTCTCTACAATAAATAGAAAGAAATTAATTGGCCCACTAATATATATATAGAAAAATTAGCCAGGCATAGTGGTGTGTGCCTGTAGTCCCAGCTACTCGGGAGGCTGAGGCAGGAGGATCACTTGAGCCCAGAAGTCTGCAGTTGCTGTGAGCTAGACTGACGCCACGGCACTCACTCTAGCCTGGGCAACAAAGTGAGACTCTGTCTCAAAAAAAAAACAACAACATTATGTATGATTCTTTTAAAATTTATTTGCTTCTTCTGGAGTATGTTGCATGAAGTACGTAAGTTTAAAGTAAAATAGAAAAAAAAACTCTACTACTACTTAACTTATCTAAGCCTCATTTATCCTTCTATAGAATGAAGATAAAATGAGGGAAATAATTTCCACCTTAAAGAAAGGAATAGATGAAATGAACTAAGGCTTGTCAAGTTCGTGGGTAAAAAGAAGAGTCTCAGTAAATGCCAATGGTATCAGTTTGAGTTATTGGTTACAAGCAACAGAAACAAATTCTGGCTGATTAAAGCAGAAAAGGAATTACTGAAAGAAAATTGGGTAGCCCACAGAACTGTGAGAATGCCTGGAGAACCAGAGTTGGAAATGCGCAAGAATAAAGGAAGGCTAGCCAGAAACACAAGCAAACCCACACCTCAGTCAAGTGAGGACACCACTGCTACTGCCACTGCAGAGCATGGATGCACGGGCCTCCACCAGAAATTGGATACCATCACTGGCACCACTGCTACTGTAACTGGATGCTGCCATCTCTACTCCCAACGAAAAAGGATTCTCCCGATCCCTGCCGCACTAACTTCATGTGAAAAATTTCAGGTGAATGATTCTGGTTAGCTGAGCCTAGGTCATACGCCTGTCCTCTAGCTGTCACAGAGCCAGGAGAGTGATTATCTGACATTTTCAGTTCATCACGGAAGAACGACTCTCTCTCCCACCAAGTCACATAAGGTAGGGAATTCCCCATTCAGGGAAGGGCTCTCGAACATGGACAGCCCCTCGTGCGTAAGGACAAATTTTCACTACAGGAGTCTTTTCACCTACACTCCCTCTGTTCACCATGGCCACAAAAGCCAAATGAATTTTGAATGACTCAGAATCAACTGGTGACAAAACAAATACTATCTCTAACAATTGTTGTGACATGGCTTTTTGTATAATTGTCTCACTATACTTTTCTCATTTGTTAATTTAAAAGACCATAACGTTTCTAATTTGATAACTTGTATTTTTAAATCAAAATGCAAAGAAAAAATAGTGTTGAAGGGTGTTTGGAATGAAACCGTTAGGGGCCCTTACAGAACTAATCTATAATAAACAAATGACAGAGGCAATGAGGGAGAGTCTATGTTTGATGTCTGAAAATCTGAGAAATAAACAGTGACTTGACAGTGGATGAAAGAGGGAGAATAAATGACTAGTAAACTCTGATACCATTGTTGATAAATGGTAGTTTTAGATAATGCTGAAGCAAACCTGGAGCTGTGGGAAATGGTAAATGAAGAGTGTTCATCAAGTAAAGTAGAAAAGTTGTTATAGTCAGTTTTTGATAGTGTAAGGGAATACAAATATAGCAACAGATATTTTAAAATTTGGTTATATTTTGGTTTTAGTTTTGGGTATACCATACAAAATGTCATGTCTGGTAAATTTTAACTGTAGAATAGGTAAAGTATTTCTTGAAGCCTAAAGCCTAAGTTATACTGGATTTATTAGTCAAATAAGTCAAATCACTGTAAAATAAACCTTTCCCTTCAGGTTTGGAAAATTATTTCTTGAGTTTTAAAGACTAACGTGTTTTATAGCCATCCCTAACTCCCCTAACTCCTGAGACAATATAAAAATCTATTTAGCTATGCTCTCTAACATGCATCAAAGGTATGTCATGAAAAGTAATATTTTTAGAGTTTCCTGGGTACCATGCGAGAATATCTTATTATTGAGATTATCCCACAAATATTTTAGTTATAGCATTCCTACCATACTCCAGGTCCTGTGTTATGACCTGGGATATAAAGCTATACAGTTATAGCTTTATAACTGTAGTTATGCCAAAGAGTTCACAGTCTCCGGGGCTCTAAAAGAATATGACAATATGACGAATATGACAAATGCTATAGCAGGTATTTGCAGGAAACTAAACAGGATGAAGTCCATAGCTTTATGTAAGGAGAAAGAAGGTTTCCTGGAAGAGAAGATATCTGAGCTAATCCTATTAACCACTTCGGTACCAGCTTAGACTATAGTCGATAGCCACAGATGAAGGCGCACAGCCGAGCGTCGACTTTAGCCGACAGCTGTGATATGACTTTTCTAGTTTTTCATTTATCAAAGTAAAATTGTGAACATTTAAAAATAACATAAACGTATATGTATATGTTACCTATTGTGATTTACAAGTAAAGCTGCCTGTATAGTAAAACAAGCTTTCAGTGCTTTAAAGCTTTCCTCATCACACAAGAGCAAAACGGATTCGTCGTCAATGCACAGCACAAACTATTGTGCGGACTATGAGTGCGGCTGTGGGCAAGGTTTCGCGGCCGGTGAGCCGTGCTGAAGTGGTTAATGAAACATTGCAACAAAATTCATATTTTAAGAACAAGAGAGCAGTTGTCCTGTTTGTGTATATAAAAGAAGTGATCAGGAGAATGAGGCTAATAAATCACTTTGGAATGCCCAAACTTACTTCTTTAGAATGTCTATCTGAACTTCAAATTGTTAGTAAATATGAATAATAAATATAAATAATACATAGGAATACAATATTCTAGGACTTTTCCACGTTGCTTAAATTAATTGGAAATGGATTTTCTTTGGCTTTCTTCATTCATCATACAACTGTTTATAGCCATCAACAGAACTTAATCCCTTTTCCTTTTCTTCATAAGATCATTGGAAATTCAATGAAACATGTGAAACTTGGTACAGGATCTGGAACACAGTAGGGATGAATAAATGATAGTCTCCCTCTCCAGTCCTGGGTAGATTGTATATGTCCTTTGATTACAGTGCCTTTGTAATTATTGGTACTCTATAAATATTTGAACTATACACTAACCTCACAGCTGATTATCAGTACCTACCAAAGAAATCTTTAGCATCTTCCCCTTTTCCTCAATTTCCTATCTCCCCACCCTATTTTTTCTTAGTAATACCTTGTGATAAAACTCTGTAGGGATAAATTCCTAAATCAAGCTTGTCATATTTTGAGTTATATCATTTGTTTAAAAAATCTCATGAGCATGATTCATGAAACAGTTGTCGGAAGTTTATGCCAATCCAACTGCAAATAGAAGGATCAAGAATTTATTATCTGTGGAAAAACAAATCCCACAAGTTTTGAGATTACATACAATTCCAAATTCCAGAGTAGGTAAAGATAAGGCAGTAAGTGTAGATGGAGTACACTGACAACAGATGGCAGCACTTCAACATCAAGCCCTCCCTTACACTTCCACATTTTGCTGTGACTTGAAGAATTGCTAAACCCTACGCAAGGTGGTCAACAGATTATGTCTATGTAGAGGGCACCTCACGAGCATTTGAAATAGTCATGTAGTACCAAGATGGCAAGCACATAGGGATGTAGCCGCTGCTACAGAGTACTATAATGAGAAAAGACAATATAACATGAAACTATTCTGAGACAGAGGGTGTGACTTGTTGGAGTTGTAAAGGTTGTAACAGGAAATGGAACTGGGTTCTGAAATCCTGAAAATGGGGTATTCACCAATCATTAGAGCAGTGGACATATAAAAACACTTAGAAAGCAGCTCAACTGCACCCGAACAATATAGCAGGAAGTCGAATGATTTTTAAAAAAAGAAATGGAATTTATATTTGGGTAAGGTTCATATAAACTAAAGAGAGTTGTAAGTAATAGGAAATAGGTATTATAATTACTTTTTCGGTGATGTTTCTTGTATGTTAGTAGATTTGTATATGGTTTATAACTAGAAAGAATTAAAATTTTGGACTGACTTTCCAATTTATCATTCTGGTAACTTATACAAGAAATAAACTCCCTCAACCTTCTATATTTCATGACTAAGAACAAATACTTTGGAGAAAAAGATACTTACATTGAAATCCTACATCAGTTGCTTTCTCGTTGTTTGAACTTAGCAAGATAATTAGGCTCTCTGAGATTCATCTACACAAAAGTGATCATACCTACCTCAAGAATTTTGTGAGGATCAAAGAAATAAAGCAAATAGCAAAATGCCTAACACAGGAAGCACTCAATAATAGAAAGCTTTTATTATTGTGGTTCTATGTATTCCTCCCTGCTAATTTTAAATTATTTACTTCAAGTTTCTGAAAATGCATTGTATATTATGTGTAGAGAAAGTGGCTGGGAGCTTGGCAGCTGTAGCAAGTATTGCAAATGAAAATAAAGTTAATTTTGGAAGAGAATGGGGAAAGACAAATTTTAGTTTCATATTATTTCTCGTGTATTAAAATCTGTGTGAGGGTCCCTATTTAAGCTCAAGACAACGTTCTCACGGTAAGTTTTGCTTAGCAAAGTTTGCTGAGGTCACAGGACTTTACTGCTTGATGTTAAGCAGTCTGTCCCCCACAGTACTGAAGAGTGCAAACCAAAACTATGGTTTCTTGCTCCTAATTGGCCTTGCGTTGGTGAATGGGCACACAGTGCAGGCTGTGGGTGGTAATTAATCGATAGGGTCTGTCCCAAGAACTGATCACAGAAGACTCTGTACTCAGCTAGTAAAGCATTCCTCTAAGCAATCCAGGAGATACAGTTCCTACCAGCCTACTCTAATCAGACTGGTTTCTCTTTCCCTTTCCAGGACTGGCTATTCTTGAATTGGAAGGGGTTTGAGAGTGGGTAGGCAGAATGTAAAGACAGCAGTTGCTGAACACTTTCAAAGGCACCGCAAAATTCAAATTTAAAGTTGTAGTTATGAGGGTTTGCAGCCTTACTAGCCTATCTCTCAGCTGAGTAAGGGTCATGTCTCATTTGTTTCTGTGTCCTCAATGACTCAATAGGGCTCTGCATTCAATATATTTATAAATATATGAAGCTTCATAATTTTATTTTTCTGAAAGTCATGTGTGGGGACACTTCCAATTTTTGAAATAATTGTACCTTTTAAAGTACAGTCATGTGCTGCATAAAGGTGTTTCAGTCAATGACAGACTACATATGATGGTGGTCTCAAGATTATATAATACCCTATTTTTACTGTACCTTTTCTCTGTTTTGGTATGTTTAGATAGATATAAGAATACTTAACATTGTGTTGCAGTTGCCTACAGTATTCAGGACAGTAACACGCTGTACAGGTTTGTAGCCTTGAAGCAGTAGGCTATACCAAAGAGCCTACGTGTGTAGTAGGCCATACCACCTACGTTTGTGTAAATACACTCTGTTGTTCGCACAAGGATGAAATCACCTTGATCAATCCCCCACCTCCCTTCCCGTTAAGTGACACATGGTTGTAATTGCTTTTTAAATATATGATCTGTGGTGTAATAAGAGGAATATCATGTGCTAAGCACCGATGCTAACCATTTTGCCTTAGTACTGAGTGAATTAAATTTTGGAAACTAGGCTTCCCGGTGAAATAATACAACTAAAGTGGCACAGCTAAGCATGTGACAGGGTGTAAGGCATGAACCCAGACAAGACAAAAAGTCTTCTATTAACTCAGCAAACTCTGGTCAGCCATTTCAACACACAGCTTTAAGCAGTTTCTACCTGGAATTTAGGGTCTGGTTTACCAAGAATAGCCAGTGTGTCCACACACTCCACCCTAAGCGGGAACTGGAACGGAAAAGGTACAACGTGGCTATTGCGCATGCTCACACCGCCCTTCCCCGCTCTCCCCTGACCCTGGGCGCCACCGCAGCAACTTTACGAACGACTTTAGAACGGCTTCCGCCCACTGTGAAGTCAAACTGGCGGAAACCCTTTCTTTCTGCGACGTGGAAACCCTTCTCTTCCTACGGCCTTTCCAAGTACAAACCACGCGCCTCCCTTTCTTCGGTACTCAAGCTTGCAATTTGCCAGTTGTCAATATGGCCGCAGACAGGCCCGTCCCAAGCGAGGCCTCTCATAGGCCAAGGTCACATGCTGGCCCCGCCCATTTTGTCTCTCCGAGCTGCGTCCGCCCAGCTTCTCGCTACGCATGCGCGGCAGGGGCGGGCCGGGAGGTGGGACGAACCGAGACTTCCGTGTGCCGCCGCAGCCGCCGCCTCAGCCTCGCTGCAGCTGGCCCTTTGGGGCTGTATTGCCGGCGTTAGCTGCGCGAGGGGAAACGAGGGGACCGACGGAGCGTGCGTGCGTGCGCGGGGTTCCCCGCAGTCCCAGCAGTTCCCCTCGCGCCAGGTGGCGGCGAGAGTCAGCAGCAGTCGAGGGAGGCCCTAGACGGCGCCATGTCGGCGGGCGGCCCATGCCCGGCAGGAGCCGGAGGGGGCCCTGGGGGCGCCTCCTGTGCCGTAGGGGTCTCTCCCGGCGGGGTGTCCATGTTCCGATGGCTGGAGGTGCTGGAGAAGGAGTTCGACAAGGCCTTCGTGGATGTAGATCTGCTCCTGGGCGAGATCGATCCGGATCAAGCGGATATCACTTACGAGGGGCGACAGAAGATGACCAGCCTGAGCTCATGCTTTGCACAGCTTTGTCACAAAGCCCAGACTGTGTCCCAAATCAACCACAAGCTAGAGGTGAGCCGTGGGCGCTGGCGGGGGTGGCATTCAACCCCAGGCTGCCCGGTGGCGTCAGATCCTATTTAACGCATCAGTGAAACGACCCTAGAAAACTGCTCACTGGGGCAATTGGGCTTTGAATGTGATGGGAGAGTGCGTGTGTATGTGTGCTAAGGAAAGGAGTGAGGTGAGGTTGCGGGTGAAAAAAAGGGGTGTAGACCGACGTGTGGGTCTCCCGGGATCCTATCATCCACCTTCCTAGTTTGTCACTGAGAAGGAAACAAACTAATTACACTAGCCCTCCGTGTACATGTTACATTAGCAAACCTAACAAAGATTCTGTCATGAAAATCCCATAGCCCAACCTTTTGACATTTGCGTTTTGCAGATCTACTTTCACATTGACAAACCAGATTTGTATATTTTCACACAGATAAATCTTGATAATTTCTGTTGTAACTAACACAGGATAAAGTCTGTGGTTGCACACAGAAACATGCATGAACTATTTAGAGGAATCTGATCAAAGCTCTTAGGAAAATTTACTGGGATACATAAGATAGTATTAGTATAATTATCTTTCTTGGTTTACATCCACAGTTAGTCCTTAAATTACAGGCATATACCTGCATAGCTCCCTGCAATTATTCAAGGACTTCTAACATTGAGGTCTTATATGTTTGTACTTTACTATATTTCCTAAAGTCTGGATTTATTTTTGAGAGCATGTAAAGAATAATCATTTGCATTAGTCTCTAATTCTGAGTATGGGTGAGGGTGGAGCGGTGGTGGGTCCAAAAAAAACCTACCACATTGTGCAGAAAATTAAATTAGGATATTATTATAATATGTAAAAATTATGATAGAGCACTTTCTAACTAGGCAATTTAAATAAGAGAATGAGTCTTTCATTTTAAAGTAGATAAAAATGGGGAATCAGTGATGTACAAAGCTCTTTGAACATTGTCTTTCCAAATGCTAGTAGTTGTAATTGAGAGCGCCCATTGTATGGAAACCAACATGAATGTCAGACATGTATCTTCTCCTGCTTAGTGGTCAGCATTCTTTCTCTCCTATTAGTGAGCCATAAAAATATGGTATAATTAATCTTTGATTAGTATAGGTTTACATATCCAAGATTTTGTGGCACTTCTCCACAGAAAGGACTCTTAATTTCTTCCATCCTTTTTGAAAAATTTGGAATGAAAGTACTGACAGGAAGGTAATCACTTCTTATTGTGGGTAAATGAAAATATCTCTCCATTAGTGGTAATTTCCAAAAGATTACTATTTTTTCACGTGATGAAATTACATTTGATGGTTTTTAGAAATATTATGTTACCTTTAAACATCAAAGATCAAGAGTAGCTTTTGCCACATGCTATGGTTTAAATGTGTCTCCCCAAATTTCATGTGTTAGAAACCTAAACCCCAGTGTGGCACTATTGAAATTATTGAGTCCCCAATGTGAGGCCTTTAAAAGGTGATTGGTGAATGGATTAATCCATTCATGGATTAATGGGTTATTAGGGTAAGGGATTAATGGGTTATCATGTGAGTGGAACTAGTGGCTTTGTAAGAAGAGGAAGAGAGACCTGAGCAAGCATGTTAGGACATTCACTCCCCTTGCACAGAGTCTCCACCAGTAAGGCAGCTCTCACCAGATGTGGCCCCTCAATGTTGGACTTCTTCACCTTCATAATTGTAAGAAATAAATTCCTTTTTTTAAATAAATTACCCTGTTTTAGGTACTCTGTTATAAGCGACAAAAAACAGACTAGAACACTACATGAAAACATTCACATCATTTATAGCTGCAAGATCTACTGGGAATAAACAACTTTTTACAAATGAAACAATATCTTATATATTTTTAAAATGACCTAAGAAAACTTTAAACATTGATTTTTTTGTTGTCAGAGATAAAAACTAAATTTGGAGAAAGGATTATTCTTTGAGTAGGAGGTGGTGCTCAATTTTTTTTGTCTTTAAATATTTTAGATGAGTATTCAAAGTTGTGATAAATTATGCATGTTCTTTTTTTCAGAAATTATAATTACCTATTCTGAGTCCAAATCCTGCTTTAGGAGGTCACATTATTTTTCAAAATAAGAAATGCTATCACAATGTGAGCATGTTTTTTCAACATGCTTGAAACCCTTGATTTAAAGAACTTAGACAATACGGAGGAGAGAGACATAACATGATTTTTTTGCCTGTGTGTTTTTTCAGTTACAGTTGACTTTTCTTTCTTTGGTGTTAATATTTAAACATTTAATGGTTTCTAAAGTTTTCAGAGTCAGTTGTATATTGCTGAGGAAAGAGGTTCACTGTCAGCACTGTCTTACAAAGTAGAACTGCTGCTATACCATTTGCAGAATTTCAGGGGTTGCTCCATGTACTATTATCAATCTTCTGAGATCTTGAAATCTTAGAAAAAATGTTCATACTTTCTTGCCCTATTTTATTCCTTAGTAAGCAGACTAAATTATATTGTTTTAATTATATGGACATTAAGACATATATTTGAGGCTGCGTACGGTTGGATATAACAAATGTATGGCGAAGTGCTGTGGTTTTAGGGACATATTACCATAATAAAATAATTTTTATGCAATCAAGACATAGATACCTCCAGTGTAGGTAATTTATAATATATTTAAATTGGTCTTGATTATCTTTCCAGATTGCCCCTTCTTCTGGCCAGTCCTTGTGTAGGTAACACCATGTTTAATATTAACATTAAACTTGTAGCTAGAAAAACTATTTTGCTACCAAAAAAAAAATCATAGATTACATTTTTAAAAATTTGAATAGCCTATGGGGCCATTTTTGTTATTTTTAATTGACACAATAATTGTATATATTTATGGGGCATGGTGAATGGTCAAATCGGTAATTAGCATATCCATGACTAACATTTGTTGTGTCTTTGTGTTAGAAACAATTCAAAATCTTCTCTTCTAGCTATTTTAAAATATACAATAAACTATTGTTAACTGTAGCTACCTTATAGTGCTCTAGAACACCAGAATGTATTTCTCCTATCTAGCTGTAATTTTGTATCTGTTAACCATCCTCTCCCTATACCTCTTTCACCCTTCCCCATCTCTACTAACACTGTTCTACTTTCTACTTCTATGAGATCAACTTTTCTGGCTTTCAGGTATGAGTGAGAACGTGCAATATGTATCTTTCTATGCCTGGCTTATTTTACTTAACATACTGTCCTCCAGAGTCATCTATGGTGCTGTGAATGACAGGATTTCATTCTTTTTTATGGCTGAGTAGTATTCCATATATACACCACATTTTCTTTATCTGTTCATCTGTTACGAACACTTAGGTTGATTTCATCCATATCTTAGGCCTTGTGAATAGTGCTGCAATAAACATGGGAGTACAGATATTTCTTGACATACTGATTTCCTTTTTTTTTTTGATACATACACAGTAGTGGGATTGCTGGATCATATGGTAGTTCTGTTTTGAGTTTTTTAAGGATATGGATTACATTTTTAAATTATATATCAATGACATCCACATGACTGCTTCTTGTTATAAGTGATATTTGGGAAGAATCATATCTAAGGAAAAGGGAATCAGAATATTCCCTCTGATATCCTTCAGAGGATATCAGACTATTTTGAAGTGGTGCCATTTTCAAATTACTCACATCTCTCTTATACTTCCCACCTGCTTGAGAATTCCTGCTATGGCAAGCCACTTGGTGATGGCTATGCTGGAGTTACAGGCATTGATTGGGATAGTAGTAGTAGTGTGGGGGAAAAAAAGAAGAAAAGGAACTTTATCTAAAGACTATAAGTACCTTTAAGTTGTCAAGCCCAGACAGGCTTTAGAATCAAATAGCAGTAATGTCACTTCCCCTTGAGCTGAATAATTACCTCTTGAAGCCATCTGCTATGTTGGCTTTAGACTGATGCTAAGTAGCCATAAAATTTCATGTGCTGGACACCATAACTCATAATCTGTAGTTCAACAATGTATAGCCAATCACTAATCAATGTTATTTCTATAAACTAATGAGAATTTCTGTCAAACAACTTTGTATCAGCCCACCCCATGTTCCCTTTTATGTTTAAAAACCTGTTCGTTAACACAGGCTGCCAAAGTACTCCCCCAAGGCAACTGATCAGCTGTGCCTCGCAAGTAAACTCTTATATATCTGTGTTTCAGCCTTTTTGTTGTAAGTCGACAGTGGCAGTAGTAGGTGTGTTAGAGTAGAGCAAAAGTTGTGAACCAATATCTTGGAAAACTCACCTCCCTGCTTTGAAATATA